CACACAAAACCCTTTCTTGACCAGCCGACCCCAGTCTCCCCACAACCCCGATTTGTCCCCGCTGCTCTGGCCATATGGTGGTGTGCTTTTCCCTTCAGGCCCTCTGGGAGCTCTACTAAAACCTCCCTGCGTCTATACAAGACCACAGCTCCCCTCGCTCTGCTTCCCCCCTGCACTGACAAGGCCCTCCTCTTTCTTGGCTCACCGCAGATTCATGACCCAAGCCCACCCCAGGGAGGGCATGCCCTCCTTTGCTCCCCTGAAGCAGGCCCTCTGCTCCCTGCACTGGGTGCGCATGCTCAGGTGACTTGAGGCAGTCCACAGCTGCCCGTCCTTGGCGGAAGGCTGCCCTTAGGCCACTAAGTGAGCATCTCTTGGCTGCCACCCTTAGCTCACAGCGCCAGCAGTGCCTGGGAGTGTATACCACTCCCTCCCGTTAAAAGAAAACAAAGGGGCGCCTGGGTGGCGCAGTCGGTTAAGCGTCCGACTTCAGCCAGGTCACGATCTCACGGTCCGTGAGTTCGAGCCCCGCGTCAGGCTCTGGGCTGATGGCTCAGAGCCTGGAGCCTGTTTCCGATTCTGTGTCTCCCTCTCTCTCTGCCCCTCCCCCATTCATGCTCTGTCTCTCTCTGTCCCAAAAAATAAAATAAACGTTGAAAAAAAAAAATTAAAAAAAAAAAAAAAGAAAACAAAAAACCCTTCAGTAACCGATGGGAATAGGGGCTATAGATCTTCAGCTCCCTGGAATGTCCCCAGAGCCTCCCGAGTCAGCTCCCCTCGGTGGGACTGTGCGCCATGCCATGGGCTTGGCCTCCTTCCCTCCGTCCCCAGTCCCCACTCCGAACTCTCCTAGGTCTGAAGGGTTTTTGCTGAGGACACGTCCAGGTGCCTCGTGTGAAGACCAACTTAACACACTGCTTTCTATTACTTGCTAAAACCGTTTAGTTAGTATCTGCGTTTGCCTGACAGTAAGATGTTTGTGTAAAGTCTTGGCGTTTTTATTTCTTGTAGCTAAGAACTGATTCTAGTTTAAATGCTGGCAGTCTTATTGGGTGTTTGTTAAATAATTGCTTATGGAAGCAATTGAAATGCCCAGTTGGTTCCGTCGGTGGGATATGTGACTCTTGACAGCAGGGTTATGAGTTCAAGCCCATGTTGGGTGGAAAGATTACTTAAAACAATAAAAAAAAAGAAACGTTAAAGCAGCCCTTGCTTTCTCAGATTTTTATATGCCGGCGCTCAAAAGAGGGGTGCAGGAAGGAGATGCTGCAGGTGATTTGGACCAGGGCCGCGGCAGTTTCCGTATTCAGCGTAGACACCCTCTGGATCACAGCTGCCCACGCGGGAACCTTGCCGTCAGTGTAGCCGGGTGAGCAGAGCGGCTGAGCTGGGACGTGCTGGCCCGCGTACACGGACCCGGAACCCTCACGGTGGGGATAGGGTACCTTTGAGCGTTGCACTGAACTAAGTTGTTGATGTGAAATATTTGTTGTAGAGACTTGGATCAATATAATCTAAATTAAAGTTGGATTCTAGTTGTGTTGTTTTCTTGTGGCCGCCAGAGCAAAGTACCACAGCCTGGGCTGCTTACGCCACAGAAGTTCATCGTCTCCCTGCTCTGGAGGCTGGAGGCCAAGATGGGGGTGTGGCGGGTTCCTCCCCGAGGTTCTGGGGAGATGCCACTCCGGGCCGCTCCCCCCCACTGTGGGTGGTTTGCAGGCTGCCTCTCCCCAACCTCTCTGTCTGTCACACGGGTTTTCCTTATGTGTCGCTGTCCAGGCGTCATCTTTTTTTTTTTTCTAAAATTTTTTTTAAATATTTGTTTATTTTTGACAGAGAGAGACAGAGCATGAGCGCGGGAGGGGCAGAGAGAGAGGGAGACACAGAATCTGAAGCAGGATCCAGGATCCGAGCTGTCATCACACAGCCCGACGCGGGGCTCGAACTCACGGACCACGAGATCATGACGTGAGCCGAAGTCAGACGCTCAACGGACTGAGCCACCCAGGCGCCCCGGGGCGTCTTCTTTTGATGAGGACACAGTCATGTTGGATTAGGACCCCACCGTTTTCCACTCTGAGCGCATCTCCGCTGATTACATCTCCGATGACCTTACTTCCAAACATCACGTTCTGAGGTCCCGTTTAAGACGCGTCGGCTTATCTTTCTGTGGGGACACGATTCAACCCACTTGCTAGTAGTGTAACCAAGAGCACCTTCCTCAAGTCAGTAGAAACATCCCCCTAAACCTGCTGTTGAAGGAAAGCGGAAGGGTAACCGTCTTTTAGTTTCTGCTTATTTCTCGCATTGTCTGTGCCCGAGCCTGGTTGACGGGTGAGTGTCCTGGCTCCCTAACCGAGCACGTGGCTCTCCGGGTAAGCCGACGGAGGGGTCGTGACTGCTGGTCCAACCTTTCTGTGTAGGTGTGCAGCTGCCAGAGCCTCTGATTCCGAGCCATCCAGGCCGTCGGGAGCCCTGAATACGTCGTCTTCCAGTTGGCTAGCTCAGAGACTCAGGTACTGGTCCGAGCGGCGTGCACAGATTCACTTGCCTTGTCCTGGGTGTGGCGGTTCTTGTCGGGTGAGCACGGAAAAGTCGGTGCAGTACAGGTACTAACTGAGCGGTTCAAATTCTGTACTCCGAGTTATGTACTCCTGGCACATGGCTTAGACTAGGCAGGGTGATCGAGAGTCTGGATTGGAGCTTTCTTGAGCTCCGGGTTATCAGTGCAATTTATTCCAGCACAGAGCGGATCACACGGTTGGCGTTTTATAGTTGTTTCTGAAATACAGATCTTTAATATGATCAGCTGCTCCGGGTTAGTCAAGATGGACCTAAAAAAATAAGTTGTTGTTTTGTTCTCTTTCAGATGGAAAGTAAAGAGATGATGTGACTCCGTCCACATGGAGACATTAGCTTGTGTTGCGTATTTTAACTTTACAGACCGTGTTTGTGCTGTAGTGCCTTAACGCTTCTCGTGGCAAACAGTCTGGAATGTCATTAAAACTTTTCCAGTAAAATGTGCAGATTTTGGCAAAACAAACAGAAGGGTATCGATATTCTGAGCTTGGCTAAACTGCGTCAGCCCCTGCTTCCTCCGTCCTGCCCCCAAATGAAGTGACGTGGAGAGCAAAGGGTCTGCGTATTACCCGGCCTGAGTCCCGCAAGAACCCGGCACTGTGGAGGCCTCTGTCCCTTACATACCCGCACAGCTGATGGCACTCTGTCTTTATCAGTGGCTTCCATGGTGACCGCCCCTGGAGCCCAGAAGAAGGGGGAGGCCTTGGGCCTACTTGGCTAAGGGCCCGTGTTCAAAGGCGGCCCCCACTCTGAGAGAGCAGCCTTGTGGCCATACGGACTATAAATGCTGGGCTCATACTGATGGCCTCATTCCAGGAGAGAGCCCTGTGCCCGGTGACCCTGGGCGCTGGGAACCAGTGAAGCAAAACGTCCCTGTAGCCGGGTCCTGATCTTAACCCACTGGTCGTCCACCTGCGCACCCCTTTTTCCTGGATTAACAAAATCCAAGCAATTACTCACGGCTTCAACACACGATGGGGGGAAGGGCTCCCGTTCAGTTTCCATTCCGCAAATAGGTGATCAAAACTTCTGCGAGTTGTCTTGGTGGCGTTTGTTCTGGACCAGTGGTTCTCACTTGGGCGTGCTCAGAGTCGCCTAGAGGGCTTGTGCCAGGCCCCGCCCCTGGAGTTTCTGGTTCTAGGGGTCTGAGTGGGCCTTGAGATTTGCACTTCCAGCACGTTCCCAGCTGATGGTGATGCTGTGGGTCTGAGGACCCCACTTGGATCAATCACTTGTCCTGTACCCCTGCCGTCCGATATGCAGTTGCTGGCCACAGATGGCCTGGAGCACGTGAAATGCAGCAAGCCCAGCTGGAGGTTGGATTCTTAGTTTTATCTAACTTAAAGACTGTTAACTTGATTTACTTTTTAGAAAAATCCTTCAGTACGTTAGGAACTTTGGTATGTGAATCTGGTTTTTCAGTTCTGGATTTTATTTATTTTTTCATTTATTTATTTTTTTTAGTTCTGGATTTTAAATACAGGTCAGGCCTTTCTCATGAAAACTTAATGTCCAGATTGAGAATCTGAAACACACTTGAGCTTTGAAGACAAACCATAAAATACGTCATTGTTAAAAAAATTATTCACGTGTTGAAATATTTTGGATATGATGGATTAGGTAAAGCGATAAAGTTAATTTTATCCGTTTTTCTTTTAACTGTGGCTACTAGAAAGTTTAGAAACAGGTAGGTGGCTTGCCTTACGTTTCTGTTAGACGGTGCTGTTCTTAACCGAACTGAAGGATAAACACCCACATTTAAGCCGGAAGGACGGTCAGCCTAGGAGTCTGCTGGTGCCTCCGTCTTTGGGTTTGACTTGGGACGGGACGGTGGCCCCCCTCAGCACAGGGTTTGCCCCTGTGGGTGCCCGAGACCGCGGTCTGTGCCGGACCGTGTGCGTTGACTGTTCTGTCTTGTACACACGTACCTGCGATAGAGCTTGAGCCATGAGTTAGGCTCAGCGAGAGGCGACCGACAGCAATGAAAGAGCAGTCGCGATTACACAGGAACGAGACCTCATGCCTGCCGCGCCCGCTTCGTCGTGCAGCGTGTCTGTAACAGAAGCTAGGAGTGTTCTCTCTCTCAAAATTCTTTTTTTTTTTTTAAATCATTTTCGAGAAACAGCGTGAGCAGGGGAGGGGCAGAGAGAGAGGGAGACACAGAATCCGAAGCAGGCTCCAGGCTCTGAGGTGTCAGCACAGAGCCTGATGTGGGGCTCGAACCCACGAGCCGTGAGATCATGACCTGAGCCGAAAGCGGATGCTTAACGGACTGAGCCACCCAGGCACCCCTCTCTCTCAAAATTCTTACTGTCCTGCACTCCCTGTTCTTGTGATGGTGTGAGATGATAAAATGCCTTCCTCATTAGATGGAGGAGGGAATGACCTAGGCCTGTGACGAGCCTAGGTCTATTTTTGGCCTGAGGCTATGTCAGAAGGCCGCTCATCAGCTTCTGGACCACTGCTAGGGCGGGAGCTGGAACCCAGGGTGGGGGCGGGGTTGGGATGGCTGGGATCTTCCCTCCGGTCCTGTTAGTAGATATTCAGATAGCTCCAAGGGTGTGAAAGGTTGGGAGGGCAGAGGCGTCCCGGCTCCTTGTCACGCTCCTGGGCGCTGACTCCCTGCTCAGTGTCCCTTGCATCAGGCAGCTGTGTTGTCCACAGATACCAAGGTCCCAACCTGCCTCTGCACCACCTGCCTCCTCCTGGGAGCCCAGCACGCGTTCTCCAGCAGCTGCACGGTCTGGCCGGTACCTGCCAGCTCTGGGCGGCCTGCGAGGGGTTTCCTGGTGTTAGTGTCGCTGCGCCAAAGAGGAGGTCCTTTTGGTAGAAGGTGCTGAGTTGTCTAAAATGTCATCCCAGCGTCATGAGTTTTCCATGCCCTCAGTACCTGCCTTTGGTTTAGTGTTTTCCTAACCCGATGAAGACACGGTGTCCCTTTACTCTAAAAGAACGTCTTGAATTAGCAAGGTTGCTCATCTTCTGAGAACCGTCCATGTGAAGAATTTAAGCTAAGGGAGTTCATTCGTGTAGGTGCCCTCACGACGGGGGAAGAATTCGAATGTGACTGTGTGCCAAGGATTGGAGAAGCCGCAAGTGTACAGGTTTTCGTGGAAAACACCGAGGTTGATATTAGCGTAGTAAATTTTTTTAGCGCTCAAAGTTTGCGTGCAGTTTTGAGAAAAACGTAACACTGAGTTTTGTGCCCCGTGTTCGTCTGTCAGGGGTAGGACGGGGCTCACTTTCCTTACCTGGAAGTGTTGGAGAGACCCCGGTGGGTGTGGATTTGCTGTGTTTTCCTGCGATGATACACAGACTCGTGATCGCGGTGGGTCACGCGGAAGGTGCAGGGAGGAGGAGAGTGTCCGGCTGTGCTGTTCACTAAATGTGTGAAGAGGCGGCTTGCAGTTTGCTTTTAATTGCTTTGCCCGAGCGGGTCTTCCTTCCTCCGTCTCATTAGGACGTTAGGGGGCGCTCTGCCCACACCCACGTTTGTAGCATTATTACCTCCACCCCTGTTCTCAGAATGCATCCCTAGCTAAGACTTTCTTGCGATAAATGCTACAAAAACAGCCTTTTAAAGTGGTTTGTAAAAAACGAAAACAAAACCCTATGCCGACAGGCAGAGCAGTGGGTTAATTTTACATTCCGGAGATATTCCGAACCAGAGTAAACTGACGTGTGTGGATGGCTTTGCTTTGCCTCCGCCCTGGCGCGGTGAGACGTGTCTCCCTTCCTGCTTTCAGGGAACGTTCCCTGGAGAACGAGAGCAGTCAGAAGGGCTGCTGTTTCC